TCTCGTTTAGGATGACATAACTGAAGAGCTTATCAGTCGGCCTATGGAAGAATAAAGCGTGATGAATTGGCAATGGTTATCGGTAACCCATAATAGATTGGGTAGTCAAAATTTCAAAACGACAGGGCTCAAGAAGATTTCCTTCGTCTTTAGTTCGTTTCAAGCCCTTTACACAGAGCTGGACAAAATGATCGGAACTCTTCATGAAATTTCTAGCAGAAAACAAATCAGCTATTGAAATGGTCCTTGAGAAAATAGACGCTCAAAACAGTAAAGAAGCACTTTATAAAAATAAAAAAGACCTCTACAATTAGAAATTTACACGAACTTGGGGAAACATACGTGATCACCATACTGAAAAAAATTCACGGGTGAAGGTATGTTCGATTTCGCCCTATAATTAATTAAACGTTCGAAATCATTAATGGTGGGAACTTTTAGGACAAAAAGGACATTAGGGTAGAACGAGAGGTTCCAATGGTTTCATGTTAAACACAACATTGTCACACGTTGACATCCTACTCCGTTATTCTGCAACAAGTGGAACAAAACACCTTCCAGAGATCACACTCATGCCTTTCACCGTCCTCTCCAAAATGCTCCGATTTTTCACTAACCAGTTGTCTGAAGAGTGAAAACAATGCGCTACAACGCTGCTTAGCTGGGAAACTGAAAAGCAATCCGAGGAATGACGACCCCCACCGAGGTTTGGAACTGAACTATTTTATCAGCAAGTAGCCTAAGTTTAATAAGGTAGTCGCCAGGCAATGTAAATGGCTCAACTCTGAAGTCAGTTTCAAACTCTTGCCTACGTTTAGGCGACTTTCCTGCTACACAGCTCCTGGAATGAGCTGGCATAGTCAAATTTTTTTAGAACTGAAGAACTATTCCACGGAAAAGTCGCCAAAGCTTCAGCAGTTTTTCCTTAATAAAAAATCACACTGTGTTACTTAAACGAGAGCAAAAAGCAAGGAAGAATGTTTTAACATGCAATGTAATTTCAGTTTAATACTGTAGCAGCACGACACAGCCTTGAGTATAAACACACTACATTTTGATTCGAATACGATCATCACAAGTAGAAAACAAATCCGGTACCTTTCTCTTACTACTTTTTTGGATACTTGAGGGTTTTGGTACCCCACATGATTTTTCTGCATCAGTGATACGACGAACGTTTTCTACGGAACCAAAAAAGAGAGGTGTTCACTTCACAACTCTAAGCTAACTGTACAAATGAGCACTTCGGCGAAAATAAGCGGCATTTTGTCCATGGTACCCTTTGTTCCCCTCCTTTACTCTTAGGGATTTTGACTCAATTCTTTAGCAATAAATTCATTACAAGGTGTGCCTTTCAAAAAATCTTCTAAGCGTAGCAAAGAAATTGTGGAGAAAAACGCATACACTCCAATCAGCTTTATTGTCCACTTCCTTTAGAAGAAAGCTTCAATTCAGTCATAGAGCAGAGTTTTTAATTATCGGGAATAACAAAGCACATCACTTTGTTAAAATCCTTCCCATTTTCATCAATAGAATCCAGTTCTGCTATTTCATTACACTTATGACATTCGTTTTGAGTGTTGGGAATCGATGAAGTTAAAAGCCCATGACCCACCTATAAATATAAAGAAACAGGAACATGAAAGGGAAACCTAACATTTTTCGGGCTATTTTTGTGAACAGTAGAGAGCACTACAGAACAGCTATTGTAACGATTACAAATAAGAATATGCATTTAAAATCAAGAAGAGGAGACTTCTCAGTGCCATGACCTTACATTTGCTCGCTTCTTAAACTACAGTTAAAGTAATAGATAAATATATTTATTTATATAATCTTATAAACTGATCTTATTTAGCTAAAACCTGACTATCTATGCCGAGGTTTATAGAAAGTCGATCTTTTGAGTTATTAATTGATAAATGGCAAAACATAAAACAAATAAAAGATATAGCTTTCGGCATTGATCAATCCTAGAGGGGTGTAAAACGAAATCGACTTCATAAAGTATCGTTAGAAATGACTGAATACATATCTGGCGTACACAATAGCCTGCGATGGCCTACCGATATGTCGAATCACTGCTGTTATCCTTCCATACAAGTTTGGTATCAATTTGCTGACCTCGGGGCAGGGAATGGAAGGCTTGGTGGGACCAGGGCGTAGGATCGAACCTATGTGTACTGCAGGGCGCCTCTAGGCAATGCACCACATGCACCCCTTGTAGTAAAACACACTTACTTGATACTTGAACGGCCCGTCATTACTAGTTGTGCGGCCCCCAGTATAATCACTATTTTTCAGAGATTTGCTGGTTAAGCCATTGTGGTTTCCTGGAATTCCGAAGAAATCCTGGCCAAAACCTGCCCTAGGTCGCCACCACGACAGGCAATTGCAGCCCTTGTGGGTTATTACTAGTTTCTTTTACTACCCACAGAGGTAGTAAACCATTATTAGTAATAAATCTGGCCATTGTCGTTATTTCCACAGTTGCGAATTATATGGAAGTATATATTCTCTGAACGATGTTCGAATATGCTTCCTGACTCCACGTAATAAACAGTGGGTTTCGCGAGAAGCTGTTGATCGTGTGAATGTGATTTAGATTTTCATCTTTCTCTATGTGTTATTGGGACGTTTGACATAGTAAATTGCCTATCAATATACCCTTGCAGGCTCTGAAAAATGCGATATTGCCGAAATGTCGGCTTTAACGGAATAAGGAATAAAGTAACACATCGTGTTTGCTCAACAAGAATATCAAGAACTATTTGATCAATGGCGATGTTAATAGAAAGTCGGTCATAGGAATTACTTCTTATTCTCCGTTTGCTTTAAATAGAAATATCTCCAAATAACCATGGTATATCTGGGTCAGGTAGTTAATATGATGAACTACATAGCTCTAGGCTTCAGTTCATTATGCAATCAACATGAGGAAAGGAGCGGAATGCTTTCAGCAGCATAGAGAATGTAATGAGGAAAACGAAGAACACCCGACTCGGTTCTCATATCTTCGTCTTGACGATTCTTCCTGCCTAAACGTTGTCGTCAAAAACCTTGTCGCTACATAAGCAAAAGCAGTGTGAAAGAGCATTCAGGGTTAAAAAAAGTTAAAAAACGCACCGTCGAAAGATGATGTTATGCTGTCTCGAATCACGCAAGCAAGAGAGTAGATTTGAAACTCTGATCTACGTCAATGATAAAAAAATCAAAGGTGCCGTGCTACACGCCAAATTGTCGAAAATAAAATGAGCCAGCTACGTAGTTTACCTCAGTGACAGCCGGTGGAGAAACGCTGTTAGCAACTGAATTCCTCTGCATTTCAAACACACAGCAGGGAAATCAATGACCCGATTCTCTGAGTTCTTTATGAAAGCGCTGGAAGATATGTTTCTGACCTAGTCTGTGAAGCATCCTGAATCAATTGGGCTCTTTCGTGCGAAACTGACACATCGAAAATTTAGTAGCGCACGTCCAAGTTAGCCAACTATCAACGTAATGGCCAGTAAATACGGATGATAATTACTCAACCCTACCGCACTTATTCACGGATCTCCCTCATATGAGGGATCTCGACCCGGTCATTCGCGAGGCAACGTGGCGCGTGACAGGTGGCGGATAAGGGGTTAATCGCGGACCAAAAGTGACCTCTGCTTTCCTGAGACACAGATGGATCCAGGGAAGCACTCCCCGCTTCTGCAGCGTCGATTTGGCACATACTTTCTGTATTTGCTAGGTGTATTCATACATGCGTGTGTGGGTGCGTTCTCGCTCATGCGGACTGTATTCTACGAGTCAATTCGGCCAAAAGCCTGCAATCAAGTGACTGTGAAGTATACGGGAGGAAGTTAGGAGTCGCCTTCATCAAATAAGCTCCATGTCGACTCTGGGAGAGCCTGGCAAGCTACCCGTGAGTATAGCCAGGCCCCACGTTTAGAACGCAGCGAGCTATACGTGGGTATCAAAAAACTAAACAGTAAAAGAAACAGACCTCATTCCCCTTTCTGACCACGAAAGAGCGTCCGATTCGGCAGCGTTGGGAAGGTCGAGTAAGGTGAGGCTGGTGAACTCTTCGAGCCATTCTAAACTGGCTAAATAGCAGAAAGCTAAGGTGACGATCTGTAGTTACAATGCACGCACACTTGCATCCGGTTCTTCGATAGAAGACTTGGTCATGCAAGCGAGAAAGAAAAGCTACGACGTCGTCGGCCTGGCCGAGCCGAGACGACGCCACCCATTCAACTCCATTTATGACACCTCAGAAGCGCCGTTCCTCGGAATATGCGACAGTAGAGGAGTCGGCGGCGTCGGCGTTCCCGTCAACACAAGTTTGTCCATGAACATCAATTCATTCGTACAACTAACAAGTCGAATCGGACGTTTACGACTGGAAAAATGTGGAGCAATTCCCGCTTTGACAATCGCCAACATCAAACTATGACGAAGAAGAAGTGCAAGCATTCTATATGGATGCGGAGAGAAGTTCTACAGAGAAGATCATACATTCTTCAAGGTCATCGTTGGAAATTTTAACGCCACGATTGGACCAAGAAGAACGTATGAAGAACATCGTATTGGGACCCATGGATTAAAATGGAACGAAGAAGATGTGCGGCTGTCTGAGTTTATAATAACGACCGAGACCATCCATGGTAACTCGCAATTCCAGAAGCCCCACCCTCAACGCTGGACGTGGGAGTCTCCCAATGGAGAGTACCATAACGAAATAGACCACATCATAGTAAATAAAAGGTTTTGCCTAACCGATGTTGTTCCAAAATTCCATACAGGATCAGACCATCGTCTCCTTCATGCACGATTCTATTTCTCTCGGAAAGGGGAAAAAGCCGCCAAATTCCAAAACCGAGGTCCCAGAACCACCGTAAACTGGGATTTATTCAGTTCATTTGCCGGCTATTGGCAAGACCTATTGGATCTCTCCAAAATTATTTACCGCCACGCTCCAGAATGTAATGCGAACACTGGAATGGGATAATATGGGAGTGAAAATCGGTGGTCGGCAACTACATTATCTTCGCTTTGGTGATAACGTCGTTCTTATAACACCAAACATTAGCCAAGCGGAACGTATGCCAAACGCACTGCAGGAAGACCACCGACCCGATGGTCAGTGTTCTTCACAAAGAGCCTTGAAGAAAGATATGATGCTCGACGAGTCTCTAGAGCGAGCAGAACCCACTGGGCTGCTCTTTCACGCACATGGTAAGATGGAAGATTTACTGGCGCCCGCTCGAGTCGTTTGACGATCAACGAGACTACACAGGTGGTACAGGTGATTAGTGAAGTACAGTTTATTTAAATAAAAATTTTAGAAAGTGAAAAGACATGGCATGACAGAATGGTATCGAAAACCAAGTAGTAAAATTATACTGGTCTATTACCTTTTCTTTCATCCTCCACACATGAAAAAAGCTCTCAACAAAAACGTGTACCGAACAGCTAAATATGTGTGCACAGTAGAAGAGGAAAGGAGGGAATCGCTAAATTTGGTCCAAAAGTAGCCCTTAACAATGGCTACGAAGAAATAGCCGCTCGGGTCAGACCAAAAGGTTGATTGATTCTCCGGACCAATGTTCCAAATCTAAATGAGATTCCTTTCAAGCCACTCTTCGTTTGAAACGAATTAACTTACATTTAACTGCGTATGTAGCTCGGGAAATTCTGTAATTTGTCATAACGCAAGGAAGAGGATTGCATGAGCTCAGGTACAATATAATTCGTCTCATGTAAGACATGTGGTGAGGAATACATAGAGGAAACTGGCAGGCCAATTTGCGTCCGCATAAAAGAATAGATGGATGGAGAGGCTAAGGTTCGACAAACTACTCCTCTGAGTACACGTAGGGCACAAGAGCACAATGGTGATGATTTTCAAGTGAATGCCCGGATCCTAGCGCAGTAATCAAAAACATGAACACGCAAAGCTGTTGAGGCGTTTTGCATAATTTTCAAAAGTCTAAGAATGAACCGGAAAGACGAATGCATCATTACCACACGTGATATGTCACCTTATCTTCAAATGATTTTTGATGCAAACTTTCATAGGTGGGTCTTACTCATTATCCCTCGTGAACGACAAACGGTGCCCCGAGGTGGAGGTGTTTCCAAAATTTCTATTGTTTCATATGCTGGATTTTCATTAATACTGTGTAATCTGCCGAATTGTGGGACAACTTTTATATACAACAAGATCAGGCCCTGAGGAAGGTGAAGTCGCCGAAACATAAGCCATTGTTACAACAGCAACAATAATAAGAGCATCTATACCAACCTCGAGTCGGCCAAAAAGAGCAGTTCGTAAGGACATATTTACAGATATATTGATAAAGTAATTAAAAAATAATAGAACATGACGCAAATACATTGCTTCTCGTTATTCAATCTTTTTGGTTGGAAAGAAAGGAGAGATCTTGTTTATTCAATAGTGTTAGTTTAATATTGTACTATGATGTCCTGCGACACACATGTGGAATCGATCCCTGCGCACATGGCCCACGATGCTTTCCATCCCTTCGGGGTCGGCAAATTGGTGCCGGACTTCTCTGGGAAGACAGCAGCACTGGCTCGACACATTAGTAGGCCGCTGCGAGTCATTGTAAAGGCCAGATATATACATTCAATCACCTCCAACGATGCTTAATGAAGTCGAATGCATGGCCCATCCTTCAAGGATTGATCAACGCCGAGAGCTTTATTCTTTATCCTTTTATGATGTCCTGAACAAAAATGGTCTAGTCTCTGAAATAAAACTTCCACATACATTTCATCCGTTACGAGGTAGCAACATTCCATAAATTCGAAAACGAAAGAAAGGCATCATCGTCATGAATTGTACAAGAGAAAGCCGTCGGCCATCAATGGGGTTGCCATCTCATGGCTAGCACAGATTGCATGCTTTGCCACAGTAACGTCGCTTCTGCTCTTCGGTGTAGAACGTATTTGTGCAAAAGCCATTCGCCACCCATGATGAACAGCTAAAGCATTAATTATTATTCCTCATAATGTCTTCAAAAAAAAAACCAATAACGACAGACATCACGATTCAAATTTTTTTTTGGTATGGTCGCTTATTGTTTACTGCTTATTCTTTTTTAATGACAGGGTACTATGTGAAATATAACCATAACGGTGCTGAGACATTTGCAAAGCTCCGTACAGCTGGTGTCTGCGGTGTGGAACGAGCACGCTATTACCCTTCCCGGGAGCTAACGCGTTTACCACTACACCATGTGAGACCTTCGTTTCTCCTTTTTCTCAGCCCTGTTATTGACAAGAAGATGCTATCAGCAATTGCCCGTCAATGAAATTGATCTGGCTGCCCACCGCAAACACCAGCGACCCGGGGTTTTGCAACAATCTTAGCATCTTTATGGTAATGTTACACATAATACCTCTTCATTGAAAAAGAATAGGCGGCAAATAAAAAGTAACTTCATTGTGATTTATACTACAGCTTCAGCTTAATTAGGTTCAATGCCGACTTGTTCTCTATAGATCAATCCTGTTGACGGGTGATCGCTGGTAGCACCTATAAACCATTAGTACGGCTGGAAGAAAGGCGAATCGAAAAGCTCGCATTTTGTGGTGCGGTGAGCACTAGTCCCTGGAAAGGGTAATATAGCGTTCGTTCCCTACCGCAGACACTAGCGGTCCGGAGTTTTGCAAATATCTCAGCATTGCCATAGTCATATTTCTCCGCTGTTTCGGAGAATCTGAATATGGTATTTGGTAAAACTTTTTAAGTTTTGCAATGACTAGTGTAGCATAGTGCTTAAAGGAAACTTGCGACTCACAGTGGTATTTAGTTTGATTTTGCACTCCGTGCTATTGTAACAAGGCTTTTCGTAACTAGAGAGTCGAAAATTTGAAACCAGAATTATTTGTGAGAATTGAAACACTGGCTTGATGAATTGATAGCCTATCGGAAGTTAGTATATAGGCCAGATGTGCATTTCTTCACGTCTGACGAATGACGAGCTTTTTAGGCTCTAACGAATGTGTGGCGCGTTCGTAAAAAACTGAGTGACTCGAAATTACTTGTCCTGTACGGTTTCTTACTCTAATTCTAGTGGTATCACAGGCAGAAGATGAAACAAAACTGGTGCAGCATGCGTTGTTTTAAGAATATTTGAAGTATTGGTACGAGAGATTTTCAGCAAGCGTTGTTTGTTAGCAGATTCATACTGTACTTTCTCTGGTTTCATACAAAGAAATTGAAAAAAACTGGTACCGATGATTACTTCGAAAATACGTGGAAGATAGGAGTAAGAGGACTACGCTTACCTCGGTGAGTTACCGCATGTACCTCCACCACTGGGTGCTGAAGAAATGAAGATTTAACACACTTTTGGCGATGTGCGATAAACATGAATCATGCTAATTTGAAAGAATTAAATTTAGACGTTTAACAAAAATATTATTGTGTTTTGCAATAAATCTTGCTGAACGAAGCGAAAATTTAGTGTTCAGAGGCGCCCTGCAATTCACATAGCTCGATTCCAGGCTCCAGGATCACCAAGTCTTCTTTACCTCCGGACTCGGCACAAACCGGCCTGGGGGGATAGCAGCACTAACTCGATACATCGGCAGGGCACCATGAGTCATTGTGTAGGCCAGATTTGCATTTCATCCATTCTAACGATGCTTAATGAAGTCGAATGCATTGCTTTTCCTTGAAGGATTGCTCAACGCCAAGTGTTTGATTTTATCCTTTTATGAATGCTTGGGATATGAATCTTTTTGCCTGATTTTTTTCTGCATTGCAATGTAAAACAGTGTAGCGATTAATCGTCTCCAAATAGATCGCCGGTGTCTTCGATGCTGCCACGATCGCGTTTGAAGTTTTCAAAATTTAACTTCTTTTCGAATTTTTGAGAAGTTGGGTTCCTAACATGTCTAAGAAAGCTATTTCAAATACCCATAGCTCGATAGCATAAAGCTTTTCAAAAACAATGTGAAGTCTTCAAGATCTCAAATGCTTCACTTGTGGCAAAGTTACCGGCAGTTGTCGTAAAATTCGCCTTGTCGGGATTATGCTATAATATAATACGGGATGGAAAGAGTTTTGAGCTTCTGATGAACCACTAACTACTTACTGGTAGCAAGTGTGGTAGAACTACCGCAGAAACCGCAAGTAGCCCTACAGTTCTCCTAAAGAAGAAACTGATTATTCGGTTTATCCGTAGTTTGTTATTCATTTAATAAACCAAACAACATAATAATCTAGTGTATTATTTTACTCAGCATAAGGTCTTCACCTCCACTTATTTGTGAACAATTCAAATACGGTTGATAAGGGACGCACCCTTACAAAATCTTGCAAGTCAACATTACGACATATGCTGACATCGCTTTTGCATGAGACGGCTGTGTCTGTGCAGTTCGAATCTGGCATTGATGTGGTTATTGACCAGGTAGAAATTTGGTAATGATTGATGGAAACAATAAACACACTTCTTTGGTCGCAAAATCCACAAACGGCTGGGCAATCTTCGGTTAGAATAGTTCTCCATGTCGGATCGTCGCATTGCTCTTTCGTTACCGTTTCACATTTTACGCGAGGTACTAAAGAAGTCACCAATCACTATTATTTCAGGAAATCTTGTTAATTTGGAAAGCAATGCTGTAATTAATTCAGGTACAAGGAATACCATTAGACTTTTCCGGACAGAATATCTGTAACACAAATAAGTGCAACAAACTAGTTAATGGCTATAACCATGAACGGTATCTAGCCACGACGATGTACAATTAAGAACACCTCGTGAAAAAAGCTACAGTACTCAATGGAAGATTGGTGAATGATAGGGCACTCTGTGTTTTTCAAGCCGTTAGCAAACTTGATAATTGAATGGCCTATGCTCACTGGTTGTGCGGGCTCCAGCATAATCCCCATTTTCGAAGATTTGATGGTCAAGCCATTGTGGTTCCCTGGAATCCCAACGTTAGCCTGGCCAAGACATGCCTCAAGTCTTCACCACCACAGGTATCCGCAGCACTTGTGGAGCAGAGGGAGATTTGCCACCACTTTGATACCAGGACGGTGGTGGATCCTGGTACTGGTTCAGTCTAGGCTGGGCTTCCGGATAGAAACTTCGCACTCTTTCTCAGCCTGAGAGACTTTGCTAGCTGGATGAATCGCCTCGCTGTACGTTGCAGTCCGAATCCAGCATCACTTCCCACGACTTACCATCGATATTGTTATAATTGCGATAATCTAGGGTATTAACATCTCCGTCACTTGTCATCTCCTTGATTGTCGTGTGACTCGACAGGGGGCCAGTAAATCTTCCATTTCTTCCTCTAGCGTGGAGGAGTACTCCAATGAGTTCTCTTTGCCTTAGAGACTCGTTGGTCACCATGCCCTTCTTCTAGGGTTTTTATAAAGAACTATGACCATTAAATATCTTTCTACTTTTGTTCAGCAAACACAAGGTGCTATTTTACTTCTTTATTTACGAACAAGCTGACGTTTCGGCGGATTTCACCTTCCTCAGAGCCTGGAAGGGTCAAGTTGACAGCAATCCACTCTGCCAAACACCTCCATAACTAAACAGAGAAGACGCTAAACCAAGATTTCAATCACATTTAACATAGCTCTGCACACTCACCGTTTTCTATGAGTCTTCCACTGAGTATATCGCGTGAAGACCGACCGCACAGAATTCACATGGAAGCGTAATGTGCCCCTCCCATCAGAATAACAGGTTTATATACTGTCCAATATCACGCGTGATAACAAGGCAGTTCATTCTCTGCGGTTCATTTTCGGATTCTTGGAATTTATCCAGGATGTCTCTAGAGTTTTGCGCGCTTGTGTTCTCGATTCTTGCGCGAGGATCGTAACCCTTCAAAATCTTCTCCGTTATGTTTCTACGTGCTATGCGTACCTAGTGGAGTACTTGGCTTACGTTTGCCGACTAGGTTTTCTTTTATACGTACGCAGAGTGGTCTACCCGTTTCGCCAACGTATTCTTCCCCGCACGCTTTACAAAAGATCAGATAGACTGTACCCGAAGTCATGCAGTCACCGTCTCTACCATTGGGGCAAATTATGCAATTTTGCGTGGCACATAGACGGTCGTATAGGCGGTTACGAACTAGCTGGCGCCTTAGATTACTCGGTAGTATTTCGATTATCGTTACCGAATTCTCTAGACTGGCCCTTCTTAAACAGCGTTTTATAGATGCACTTACTTTATTTATGACCATTAAGACCATTAAGTTTTTGTTCTACCTGCAGCAAGTTTGACATCTCAGGGTCACAAACGGCTCTTGTCCATCGGTTGTCATTCACACACATTACGTGTCCGGCCTACCCTATCTTCGATTCTTTCGCTTACAGGATGGCATCTTTGATTTTTGATCGTTGACAAAGTTTGAGCATCGGATCCATTCTCTCATTTGCGTTATATGAGGTACTCCTAGCATCGTCCTTTCGACGACGCCTTTAATGACGCTGAGTGAATGGTATACACGTCGAGAAAACGTGAAGTCGAAAAGATGGGAATAGAGTCGGTCTCCTTTGCTATCTTCATTGCAGCTTCGATGCTTTTGGAAGCTATCTATGGAGATCATTTTTTCCTACACAACTCTAGAGGTCATGTTGATTTTCTGACCTAGACAGACGTAGTTGGAGCTTTCAGAGATATTCACTCGATCGACTGTGAATGCGGCATAAGAAATCGATCTATTCCTTATGAACATCGTTCCGTAAGATTTAGTCGAAAACCAATCTTTCACAAGCGTGATCAAAATCGGCTAGCAATCGTTTCGTCTGGCTAATGTTTGGTGTTATCTAGGGTGGTATAGTCGAAATTAATGTTATCCATTGTGGCAAATAACATGTTTTGTTTCTTCGTGCAAAACATTGCAATCGTATGTATAACCACTGCTACTAACCCTGGAATTTGCTACCTACCCAGAAAGTTGAGTTTTGGGAGATAATGTAAAGCGTGAGAACGTTTCTTCTTATTCAATTACTTCAAAAATATCTTAGTAATCGTTTCTTTGGTCAAAAAGCTCACCATCTTTGTTTTTACAGTTAAACGCAGGTGTAAGGCAACAGTAGCCGCACGTCTTTGGGCAAATATTAATTGCCAGCTGTACCACCTCTTCGTTACGTTGATTTGCGGCATCCTAAATGGGAAAGCCGATTATGGCAGAAAGGAAGAATTATAAGTGCCCAACTAAACAAAGTGATCTTAGGAGAAGATATATCTACGATATAATAGCAGCGACTTCTCGAATCTCGCGGACGTCACCGAGAGAGGTGGCCGGGTCCTGAAGTAGATTCATCTGCGACTTAAGGGTCTGCCGGTGTTTAACCTCGTTAACATATCGAATGTAGCTCAAAAGGTAATTTCGGTTCAAATCCTGAGTTAACCATACTGGGGCACTTCGAAGTTGTTTTCAAGAGGCGGTCACTTGTAACTGTGTATTGGAGTTGGAGGGCGGTTTGCTGCTTTACGACTGTGATTCATCCAGAACGGAATTCGTCGTTGCGACTAGTTGACCAATTGACAAAGGACTATCAAGAAACATCAAAATTGGTTGATTTTGAACAAACACTTTTTGATAGAAAGGAACTACGATTGAGACGTATGGTGTTTGACTTAAGCAAAAATGCTCAGAAAAGACAAGTGAAACTGTACCAGGCACCACTTATGCAAGTCTTTCTCCGTATTTAGTACAAATGAAATTGGAGAATATTTGCTTATTGACTCAAAATACTGCTGTTACTAAAGGATATAATGAAGGCGATCAGTTATAATCTAGAAGACGAAATCGAGTGAAAATCCGGAACTCTATCTGGATAGACTACACCATGATTAGAGTAATGTTAAACAGTGGAGGATATTATAGGCATGAGCATGCGCTTTCTCCTCTAATTCAGAGAGGTACAGTGAAATGTGATATAATTTAGACGATGAATATAATGCAATGTCACCCTTTTAATTCAAGACGATTACGGTAACCTGAAAGAGTGCGTTTTGAAGAAATCTCGTTTGTTCGTTTCTGCAATTTTCACCGAAAGCTTTTGGCGTGGGCTAATAGTGATCCTATTGGTAAGAGCGATAATAATAGGGGTAGTAGTCTCCTTAACCGTTCATTCACCTGGAAGCACTTAGCGTTTCTCTCGTCACTGGTGCCAACCTTCACTGCCGCTGTGTAGATCACCAAGCACGTTGCACTCGAGAATTTGTCTTTGCAGTTCACGGCACACTCCGTATACTAAAAACGTTATTCTCACTCATAATACGATAATCACAGCTGATTGAACTCAAAATTAATGGCATATACGTGCTTTAGAATCAGCACCAACGACTTCGGTGCAGTTAAGGTCGGCTGGTGCACCGGCCGTAGTTGACTCCAACAGAGCCAGGAAAAGCAGCACGAATATTATGCAACGCATACTTCTCCTGAAATGTGAGGTCGGTTATTTTACGCTTTTTTAAAACGATATTCAGTATTAAGATGCAGGTACACGTCAATAAAGCGGTGATGAGAAGAGAAGAAAATTGGAATTATGATTTCTACTTTTTGAACAACGTGTTTTGCATCGGCGTTACCGAAAAGATTCTTGTTAGTGTAATGTTAGAACTATACTGGTGTAATCACAATGTTTAACGTTTTGTTTTCTGCCTTCTATAATTTTCATGGCAGGTTACTAAGCGAAATACAACCACAACGTTGCTGAGATATTTGCAAAACTCTAGACCGCAGGTGTCTATGGTGGGAAACGAACGCGCTATTGTCCTTTCCGGGGAGTAACGCGTTCACCACCACACCATGCTGGTTCTTCGTTTCCCCTGTCCTAGATGAAAATCGTAACCAAATGGGAGCGGACGCTGTGACGAAGAGGTTAGATCTGAACACCGTTTTTACAATGATATTTTTGTGAGCTCGCTATTCAACAGTGCTTAAAGACTGTTTGCTGTTAGCAGCTGTATCTACAACGATTCATGATGATTTATATGGATTTATGACATTTTCAGTAGACATCTTCCATAGACGTCACTTTTGGACTAGAGAAAACACAAGGTTGTTCAAAGCCAGCGAAGTGTTGACGAAATGCGTTCCTGGTTAATCGTGGAGAAGCGTAAAATACAAGCACGTCATTTTGTTGCAGTCTTTGTAAACAGTACTATAATCCTAACTCTATCTTTTATCTATCCAACTGGAGGAAAGAGACGGATGTGGTTCAGTAAAACATTTGCTTAGAACTGTTTAAATCCGATTTGCATTATTAGATTCTTGTGGAACCAGGCCTTCGTAACTATTCGCTGTTTAGGCTGTATATTCATCTCATTTGCTCCTCTCTTCTTATCGGTTTTGTCGTTGTGTAACCGTTATCCACGATGGTTCTCGTGCTTGTGCGTTGTGCGAGTTTTTGGCTAAGGAGTGAGGATCCATTTGCATTCCTTGTTCTCGAAATGTACGATATTAAACATATTCTCAAGGAAATCCCAGTATCCATTTTCTTGGACTTTTCTGTAAACTCACCGCAGTCAAATTTCTTGTGTGAGTAACTAAATCCCTATCAATTAACATCAGAACGAAACCAAACAGAGATTATCACAGCAAATTCATTTTATTCGTCAGAAATTAGTTTCATAGTTGTCTTTCCGGCTAACTCTCTGTAGCAACTCTTGCTCGCGTCGCCAGTGTTACTGATTGGAAAGTATTCGGCAGCCATTTCCTATTGACGTCCTTCACCAGGCTGAGACATAAATTAAATGAAAACGGAGAAAATAAAACAGTGTTCGCATTTTTTCGACTGCGTTCGCAAAATATAGCGCGACGATTGATATATGAACGTTGCAAAGCAAAGAGCTGTTGATTGGGAAATGTTCTCGCTGAACGAGACAAGCCATTTATGCAGTCAGCATTACTCAAGGTCGCTATGGATAGTAGAAGATAACAATATCCATCGACAATTTCGCACAAAAAAAAATCATGGATGTCATTCTAGACATCGCCTGCTTAACGTCCCTCCACTTACCGTGATCATAGTCGTTGAAAATGTGCACAGTGGAAACATTGGAATGCGTGAAGATTTCGCTCATAGAATAACCTAAACAAAAGAATTTAAATCGCTTTTACGCATCAAATTGTGTCCACCATGTAAAGGTTCTACCTATACCGAAAAAATTTTAATGAAAGTGGTATCAGTGGCGTTATCCAAGTGGTTGCGCTTCAATCGCCCATTTTTCTCAGTTTTAACTTCAATGGAGAAGCACATATACCATTATGAAGAGAAAAAACGACAAAGCTGTTGTCGTTGATCAATCTCCTAGGGATGCGCCAACCCGTTCAAATTCATTAAACATCTTTCGGAGGTGATTGAATGCATATATGGGCTTTCTACTCTCCTCCAAAACAAGTCTGGTTTCATGTTGCCGACCTCTGGAGATAGAAGGCTTGTTGGCCCAACGGCCAGGGAATCGATCCCGTTTGTATTGCAGGTTGCCTCCGACTGAGCCACAAGCGCCCAGAGCATTGTAGGGCTGAGATATCTGCAAGACATGGGTCCCAGGCTGGATCGAACTGGCAATTACCCTTTCCGGGGTTCATTTCCGTTAACGTGCCATCGCTGGCGGCACCATTAGGTACAGAGTGGCTGAGAGAAGGCCAAAGCAAGGGATTCATTGGTGCAGTTGGCAATACGTGAACTCGGAGAAAGACAATCATGAGCTCAGTCTGGCCAGATTCCTAAGTATTGCAAATACTTCTGCGTCGTAGTGAATGCATTTCACATCGTACCCTCCAGTGAAAAATAATAATAAGTTGCAAACAAGAACTTAACACAGTATTGTTTTCTTAGAATTTGTGCGATAAGGTTTTCTACACGAGCAATTCGAAATGTGGTTTTTGCTCCGAAACCTATGAAGCGTAAGTTGAAGGTTGGTATCAGCTCAACCTTTAGAACTTCTATCGATGGTATTAACCTTGAAAAATCGTTGAACACGAAACACTCGTAGCCAAGGGAACTTGTGCGGTTCTAATTATGATCTTAGCGAATCACAAGAGGAATATTGCTACTAATCTGTTGCACTAATCTTATCACTGACAACATTTCATATTTGCTGCTTTTTAGTGAAAACTTCTCGCTAAAATGAATCTTTGACGTAGACAGTACGTAAGAAGTAACACCTGCCTTTCGCAGACAGCGCTAGGTTAGGTAAATAGTTATATCTCATCAAGGCTTAGGAATAGCTCAAATAAGAGCGAAGCCTCGTCATGAGGTAGTCTAGTGTCCAACAACAACAATGACACAACTGTGTGAGTTAACGAATTAAGAAAATGCTTGCGAAACTCCTAAATCCTTGACCAGTTTACACTTCAAAATTGTGATGTGGTCAGCAATGATTACTTTTCAAGGAACGCTGGTCGAGTATTAAATAGCTACATAAAAAACACAATTTCACCAAGACACCTATCTGGTGATTTCGATTGTCTTCTACGGAACCTACTCCAAAGAAAACAACAGCTTCTCCAACGGGCACTGAGCACTTCGATTTGTCTTGAAAGACTACCTAAAACTATGACCTAAGTTAGATTGAAGATTTCTGCGCACTGTTAAGTCGTGAGCAGAAATGACTTAGAAGCAATAGTTATCGATCGTAGAGGTACCAGTAGCAAATTGAATGCGCTTTAATGTCCTCATTGCGAAATGGCATTTGCATCTAAGATTGAATGACAATGAAGACACAATGAATGGTGAATTTGACGTAGTTCTGTATTATATAAGCGACTTCTTTTGCACGTATTCTTTGACAATATTGCTGATTTGGAAATTTCTGTGATACGCTATAATGTTCTTCTCTGTGTGTTTTTGTAACTTCCTATTTACAGTATAGGCGGGTTAATCAGCACTCACCCGATCGATATTTATCTTTGCTGTGGCGTCAATAATTATCCAAGTATAATAGCTACTATTATACCAGACCACGAAGCTAGAAAAAAGTGATCGTTGCGATATGTTGGGTTAGAACAAAGTGTAATTTCAATGAAACTGACTGGTGCTGTTGCATCGCTGTAGTAAATTACTCCATTGCAAGATTAGTGTTTGCTTTACGGTTTTTCGGTGAAATTTGTCATGAAATTGTATGGTGGTTGGTTCTGTAAACATTGCTGTACCAAACGGTAGCACAACTGCAGTCATCTAGCGATTCCGATATCTAATACAGTCTTGTGGAGAAAATGAGAAATTGAAGCCACGAATCATTTTCTGACAATCGGGTAGCTGTCACCTATCTGTCACCCGTTTGTCGAACACAGTGCAGCTTGCATGATTTTCTTGACGAGCAAACACGAGGTTGGTGTTACATTATAGCATTTATTAGCACACGGTGGCTGACGTTTCAAGCGTTTCGCCCTCTTCAAAGCCTGGAGAGGTTAAATTGATATGCAATCTACTCAGCCAAACACTTTGATCACCTCAGCATACAAAACATAACACATAAATTTTCATTTGTACAATACACCGCTTCTTCTGAACACTCAACGTTTTGTTCTTTATAAGCCCTCCAGTTATTGTTGGAGACGAGTCGCACAAAGCATTACATGGGTGGGATTCCTTTGAGAGGATTATGATTTCTACTTCAAAATCTTCTCCGTTATGTCTGTAGGTCCATGCGCGCCCAGTGGAACACATTGCTGAGCTTTACGCTTCTTGTCGACTAGGTGCTCTTTTAGAAGGACGCAGAATGGTCTAGCCGTTTCGCTAATAAATTCGTCCCCGCACCTTTATGACAGGTAGCACACATCGGACCACAGCTGAAGCAATCACCGTCTAGAACAAACAATGCTGAGCACAGGAGAAGATGTACAAATGTTTCGAATTGCTGAACTAGCATTTGCAGTACATAAATTTCACCTAAGGAAAATCGAAGAAAGTTTGGTTTCCGTTTTTGGATGTTCATATCGACCTGTCCAGAAACGGCTACACCATCAAATGGTACCCGAAACTAAGCAAAAAAAATGTGTTGGTTAATTACCTCTCCTCTCATCTCTCACAGACAACAAGAGCCCTTAAAAGAAAAATATTTCCAACAGCAACCAGTGTGTACACAGGAAGAGAGCTGAAGGGGGATTCCTTGAAAATGACCCGACAAGTAGCCAATTGGTATGGCTACGAAGCCGTAGCTTCTCAGGTTAGGTGTGAATGAAAAACTGCACCTCCAAACAATAATTCTAGTGAGGATAAGGTCCCGTTTATCCTGCCCTTAATTTTCAATGAAATGAATTTTCAAACGAAATGAGTGCAGCTATAAAACGTTGCTTAAGAAGGCCAGTCTAGATAATTCGGTAATAATAATTGAAATGCCGCCAAGCACTTTAGGAAACTATCCAGTTGGCACCTTCCTAAATGACCATCTACGTACAATGAAAACACAAGAACCCCATACA